AGCTTTATTTTAAAAAGGCTAACCGGATGTTGCATATTAATTCTTGCTAACTTGACCGCAGAGCCCCGCACGTGCAAAACTGACACTAGATGGTACCTACAGTATCCCAGTTTGAAGCTTAGGGCCACTGACCAAGCTGAATGTGTCGGTATAACACCATGACGTTATGACACCATGATGTTAATCCCTGATTTACAGAAATGAATATACTAATTCCTTCTCACCCAGAATCCCCTGGGAGTGATGTCATTTTTTTAACTGACTGGACAGAGGGCTCTCTTTTTGTAATCATTGTCAGAGCAGGTTAGCAGGTTAGGTGTGCAGCCTGAGTTACCATGGTGACGTACCTGCTTGAACGTGAGCCACTGTTGAGAAACAGAAATGCCAGAGTTAAGCCAACAAATGTGGGTTTGTCTTCTGGCCGGACAATCACTGCTGAATGCTATGGATCAACAGTCCCATCAGCCACCCACAGATGTATTATTATGGCCACTTTGTGCTGCCGTAGTTAAGCCTCCCTTATTGCTTCTTTAGCCAGACATAAAACACATTACCCAGAAGCAGTGGTGGAAGAAGTACTTAAACCCACTACAAGTTGTTTTAACTGCTTATGAAACAGTCTCAGATTACTACTGATAAGGTTAAGGAGGTTTGTGTAGATGTATGTATAAAATATAAAATAATACTGATGTCTGTATTGTATATGACCTACTGTAGATAAAAAACCAAGACCATCAATGAGATGATTAAGGCTATTTTTATGTTGTTATTCTTAATGCCTGCCACTGGGTATATAATACTGATTTATTCAAGTGTAAGCAGCATTTTACTGTTGCAGCTGCTCAAAATGGAGATACAGCTTTTGCTCTCAGAAAGCTTCGTTTTTACTAATTTGCTTGTAATTGTGTTTTTACTTATATAATAATAATATAAAATATAAAATGTAACCTTCATATCTATCCCTACACTGAACATTGAATGGGAACACTGGATTGCACAGGTAACGTACCACACAACTAATATCTTTTACTTTAGCCACATAATCATTTTATGGAATTTTGGTGAAAATTCTATATATTTAAACTACACATTAATATACATAATTTCAGTCAGTGAAAATCTGGTATTTTCTAAATGTGTTCGAGTTAAGATTAACAGCCTTGTTTTCAGCTTAGATAAGATAAGACAAAATGTTCCTTTATTGCTCCCCCATGGGGGGAAATTCAAGTTTGGCACAGCAGCACAGCGGAATGTAGTTCTAAAGAAGAGAAAGAATAAAATACAATAATAAATTAAGAAAATAAAATATAATAGAACTGTACATGTGCAATTCTTTAAGGTATTGTGCAACAAAGAGTTGTGCTTAGCAGGTTAATAATGAACTCAATCAGCGTGGGTGGGAGGTACTGGGTTCTGTGGCGTTGTGGGGTCAGATGGCTGATGGAACAAATGAGCCTCTGAGTGCTTTGAGGCACGGGGCTAGTTATGCTACTACAGGCCTAGAGTGCTGGGGGATTTCCCATGATGCACTGAGCTCTTCTCTCTCTCTTTCTGCACTCATTCATGTCCCATTACTGCATGTTACTAACTTCACTTCTTTCCCGGTTCTTGTGCTTTCTCGTCTCGCAGTTTCTCATGGATCCTGGTGGAGCCTCCTGCCATGGTCCTGCTTGACTCCCACTGCTAATATTACTGATATTATTGTTGTTATTATTATTATTACTACAGTTACTATTATTACTATTATCATTGCTCATTGTTCCTCATCGTTGTGGTTGTTGTCGTCGTCGTCATCATCTTCTTCATGTTCATCATCATTATCAACATCAGTCACTACTATTAGTGTAGTTGTTGCTACTGTTGTTACTGTGCACCTTTTTCCCTTTCCCTTTTTTTTTTTTTTTCCCCCTCTCTCTCTCTCTCCCCCCCCCTCCCCGGGGGCCCCCGGGGGTTTTCCCCCTTTTAAAAAAATTTTTTTCCCCCCCCCCCACAAAATTTTTTTTTTTGGGGGGGGAAATAATAAAAAAAATAAAAAAAAAAACAATTAAAAAAAAAAACCCCGTTTTTTTTTTTTTGAGAAAAAAAAAAAAAAAAAAAAAAAATTGTGGTGTTGGGGTTTTTTTTTTATTTAATTCTCAGGGGAAAAAAAAAAAAAAAAAAAAAAAAAAAAATTATTAAAAAAAAAAAAAAAAATAATAAAAAAAAAAAAAAAAAAAAAAAAAAAAAAAAAAAAAAAAAAAAAAAAAAAAAAAAACCCCCCCCCACCCCCCCAAAACCAAAAAACAAATATATTTTTAATATTTTTTTTTGTGTTTTTTGGGGGTGGGGGGAGGGAAAAAAAAAAAAAAAAAAAAATTTATAAATTAAAAAGTTTTTTTTTTTCTCAAAATAAAAGTTGTACCCCCCCCCCCCCCCCCCCCCCCCCTTAAAATTAAAACTTTAAAAAAAAAAAACCCCAAACCCCACCCCCCCCCCTTTGTTTTTTTTGGTTTGGGGGGGGGGGGGGGGGGGGGGGAAGGTAAATTAAAAAAAAAAAATATAAAAAAAAATTATTAAAAAAAAAAATAAAAAAAAATAATTTATACCCCCCCCCCCCCCCCCCCCCCCCCCCCCCCCCCCCCCCCCCCCCCCCCCACCCCCACACACCCCCACACACACACCCACACCCACAACAAAACAAAAAAAAACAACAAACTTTAAAATTTTTTTTTTTTTTCCCCTGCCGGGGCGGCACACAGAAGGGGACAAAAAGAAAAAAAAAAAAAAAAAAAAAAAAAAAAAAAAAAAAAAAAAAAAAAAAAAAACAAAAACTTAAAATTATAAATTTAAATTTTATAAAAAAAAAAAAAATAATAAAAATTTTTTTTTTTTATATTTTTTTAAATTTAACATAAACAAAACAAAAAAAAAAAAAAAAATAAAAAAAAAAAAAAAAAAAAAAAAAAAAAAAAAAAAAAAAAACAAAAACAAAGCGAAAGCCGCAGGGGAGGCCCTTTAAAACCCCAAAACACCCCTCAAAAAAATTTCCCCCATTATATCAAAAAAATTAACAAAATTTACTTAAAAATCTTTTTTAAGTTGCCCCAAAAACCCCAAAAAACCCCACAAGCACCAGATATATTTTTTTTTTTTTTTTTTTTTTTTTTTCCAATTTAAAAAATAAAATAATTTTTATAATAATTAAAAAAATGCTGAATGACATGCCCCTCCTGCCATGCCATGCTCAATTATTGTTAATATTATTATTACTATTATTATTATACGTATTTATATTATTTTCCATCGTTGTTGTCATCTTCATGTTCATCATCAGCAGTCACTACTATTAGTGTAGTTGCTGTGCGTTTCTCTCTCTCTCTCTCTCTCTCTTTCTCACCCCAACTGGTCAAGGCAGACGACCACCCACCTAGAGCCGAAGGGTCTGTCCTAGGTTTCTGCCTCTTAAAAGGCAGTTTTTCCTTGCCACTGTTGCCAAGTGCTTGCTCATGGTGGTACTGTTGGGTCTTTGTAAATAATGTTACAAGGAGTTCAGTCTAAACCTGCTCTATTTGAAAAGTCTCCTGAGATAACTTCTGTTATAAATTGGCGCAATATAAATAAAATTGAATTGAATTGAATGTCTGCATAAGGGGGACTTGTGAGTACCCAGAGGACCCATTTATATTTAGATATCTTGAGGTCAGAGGTCAAGGGATAATTTTTATAGTAAAGTATTATAGTAAAAGAGAATGTAGCATCGCACCGCTGCACACAATAAGAAAAGAAAGCAGCAGAGACTGTGATGTTTTTAGCCTCATAGCTGAAACACTTCCCTGCCAACAGTCTGCATGACCCTGTACACCCTGTGTCTGATCTAAATATGAAATTGAGCATCCAAAGGCCGCACACTGTCATTGTAATCCATCATCATTTCCAATTATTGGAATTTAGCATTGCTTTTTTAAATGTTAATGATATTTTCAGCCCAACATCGTGTCGACAATGGTAAACATTTCGGCTGTAACTATTAAGCAGATAAACGATACAGATGGCTTACCAAAAAATTTAAACTGCCTGTCCAACTGCATTTTTTCCCATTTACAGCAGCTATATTCCCTATGTTTATTAAACCAGTTTTAAACCAGATATGATATCTTTATTTTATATGATATGATATACAGATCTAGATACATTACCATAAACTTGGATACCATTGGATCTTTCTGGATACAGGTCATTTTTTTCTAGTGAAAGTTGTAAAGTAGTAAAAGTCCCCCAGGGTAAAAAGCAACAGGTTCCATATTTAGAGTACCAAATAGTTTGTTCTTTTGCTTGAACACTAAACAAAGTGATATTATTGCATTCACAACTGTTTTTGGCTCATTGGAGGATTCTGTTGGAAGCCTGGAAATCTTCCTTACCACCTTCTCATTCTGGGTGGTTAAGAGATATAATGTCATATTTAACTTTGTAAAAAAATTAAATATACATATACCTGTTCTGTTCTTTGTTTTGTTTTTATATGTTTTTCTGTCCATAAATAGAAAATAAGGAGATATTTGTTATTTGTGGATACTATATTTGTGTCTACAGCTCCAATAAAAAGACTTCTGAGAGAAAAAGCAAATAATGAAAAAAAAGCAACAGGTTGAAATTTTCCTTTAAACTTGCACTGAAGCTGAGCAGCTGCTGACCGTACAGTCATGGAAAAAGAGGCAAATACTGTCTGATGTTATTATTGTTGTTATTATTTTTAATAACATAGGTGGGGTTTTTGTTAAACTGCATTGGAGAAGAGTTCACAGGATGAATGTTTGGCTGGGTCAAACTATTACCCTTTACCCCATGTGCAAAATGGGGTAAAACTCTAATGGCGTCTGTGCATGTACAGTATAAATACAGATTACTATGACAATCTAATTTTAATGGCTGACTGGTTAATTCTTTGGAAATGATACGTTAACTTGCATGATTTTCATGCACTGAAATTTAACTTTTTTAAAAACCTTTTTTAAAATACATTTTCAATACATAAAGAGACATTTCTCCCTCCCACCCTCTCTCTCTGCCCGTCCTGATTTTGCCAAGTGGCTGTTGTGCTAAGACCAACATTTTGTATGATAGCTCTGGGGCAACAACAGCCTCAGCCAATCAATGTTTGTGATATCATCACAGAGAGCCCTGCTGCCGATACCTGCCAACTGGTTGAAAAAGGTGAGAATAGCAGTGACATAAGGGGAGATGCAGAACAAGGAAGAGCTTGAGATGCTGTAACTGACATTCGTATTGATGTTTTGGCCAGCCCTGCCCGTTTGTCACCAGCCTGCTGATTACTTACTTCCCAATCTCCTGCTCATTATCAAGCAGTGCACACCTACTATTTGTATCTTTTACATTGGCGACTTGTAAAGGGCAGTCCTGCCCTCCAGGTTACTGTTCTGTCCCCAGCACATATCATTCATTACTTTTAAATGAGTTCCTTTTTAACTCTTAAACTTGTATGAACATTTGGCTTATTAATCTGTGGCCTCTCTCTCTCTTTGCTCTAGTTGAGAGTTGAGGCTAATTAGCCCCAGGTGGTCTCTTGCAGCGAATGTCCTTGATAAAGATTTCATTAGGCTTCCAGCTTCCCCTGGGCTTCACAGCTGCTCCCCAATCAACACTGACTCGCAGGCATTAACTTCAATCCTCCGCTCTCCCAGACAGGTAAACAGATCAAGGTGGGAGACATAATTAGAGGAGCTGCAGCACAGAATCCAGAGTCGCTGATAGACGTAGTTTGGCACTTTATTCTGTGACGGACAACTCCAAACTCTTGGACACCAGTCCATTCCGATGGTTGACTGAGCTTTGTAGCTGGTATGATTTCACCCATAGCACTTTAGGACTTAATAATGGTCAATAATATCAATAATACCTGTGAAAATCAGAGCATGGAAAGATGGAAAGACACTTTGGGTTGGTTGCTTGAAGATAGTTGATTGTCGAGTCTCATTCCCTGCCTCAGTATTTGACGAGGTTGGCCCTGATGGGTTGTTGTGACATACACTAGACTGAACGCTGGAAAATAAATGACAATCATATTTAGAATAACGTTACAATCTGCAATGTTCCTATATTTTATTTGGACCATTGACTCCATGTTACTAACTATAGGTTGCCCATCAGCTAACACCATGAAGCAACCAACGCCAAGCTCTTGGGAGCGCACATAAAGGTCACATCTTTGCATTTTGCAAAAGTCCTACCCACAATTCAATTCAATTTTATTTATATAGCGCCAATTCATAACAGAGGTTATCTCAGGACACTTTTCAAATACAGCAGGTCTAGACCAAACTCCTTATAACATTACCACATCCCTACATAGAAACAATGAAAATCAGTCCACAGGTAACAGGTTACCAGTTAGTTTATAACCTGTTTACACATAATAAAAAGTGATCAATACATAAAAATAACATGTAAAACCCTTCTATATCTTACATATAGAATATTTAATATCTAATTAGCGGATGATGTAGTCAAATGACTTTTACTTGACTTAATCTTAATTATTATGATTGATAAACTTGATTAAGTAATGGTCAATAAGTTTAATGAAAGAATAAAGCTAAATGCTATCTTGAAGATAAAACAAAATCCTGCATTTCCTCACTCATTTGAATTGAAAATCAACTATCAACTGTACCGACCTTGAAAATGTTGAACTGTGTGAGAATTTACATGGCGACTTCACTACAGCGAAGTCTGTTGGTTGGAAACAAGCAAAGACTCTAGCCAGATTATCTAAACCACTTCATTTGGAGGCCAAACTGAAAGTGAGCACACCTCCTATGTCACTCAAGATCCCTCATACACAAACTGTGCACACAACTACAGTGAGTCTGTGAACTGCGATGATGTTTGGTAATAATTTCATTGTTCACCTTAGTTTTCTCTTCCAAATAAGTTTGTCTGACCTGGAGCTTTGTTTCCAACAGCACAGCTTGCATGGCTCAAGGCTGAGACAGATCCTGGCTCTGCAGGAGGGTGTCTGAGCCTGTCCTGATGGGGTCTTGATTCGCCTGGTGGAAAGCGGAGTTGGGATGGTGGTGGGTGGCCGCCAGCGAGATGAGCAACACAGAAAATAAGGAACTAGTTCATGAATAGGAAGAGGTGAGACAGTTAGATAGGAACTGATTGGATGGATGAGAATTGGAACAACTATCACATTTCTTTTTTTTTAAGGTGGCCCCTTTTGGTCTGTGCTCCAGTAACATTTAAGCAAGTCTCAGTCAGAACCTCAGTCAACTTCCTCAGTCCTCAGTCAAGAGACATATATATAGTCACATCTTAAGTTAGCTAGCTAATGTTAGCAAAACGCAAGCTACTAGATAGCAAATCCTCAATTGTTAGCTAGCTGGCTAGTTATTACCTAGATAACAATTTATTTAGATTAGTTAGCTAGTTAGCTAGAGTTTTTCTAATCAGCTGACTTAAGATGTGACTATGTTCTGCATATTTCACTTTTGTCTTTTAACCACCTTCAAAATAAGGCAAGCTTAATTCAATTCAATTTTATTTGTATAGCGCCAATTCATAACAGAATCTCAGGACACTTTTCAAATAGAGCAGGTCTAGACCGAACTCTTTATAACATTATTTACAGAGACCCAACAGTACCACCATGAGCAAGACCTTGGCGACAAGGGCAAGGAAAAACTGCCTGTTAAAAGGCAGAAACCTAGGACAGATCCTCCGGCTCTAGGTGGGTGGTCGTCTGTCTCGACCAGTGGGGGGAGGAGAGAGAGAGAGAGAGAGAGAGAGAGAGAGAGAGAGAGAGACGGAGGAGAGAGAGAGAGAGAGAGAGAGAGAGAGAGAGAGAGACAGACAGACAGACAGACAGACAGACAGACAGACAGGTGCACAGCAACAACAGTATTGGCAATGGCAATCTAGCAGGACCATGGCAGGAGGCTCCACCAGGATCGACAAGAACCTGCGAGACGAGAAAGCACAAGAACTCCGGGGAAGAAGTGGAGTTAGTAACATGTATTAATGGAACATGAATGAGTGCAGAAAGAGAGAGGAAGAGAGGAGCTCAGTGCACCATGGGAAATCCCCCGATAGTCTAGGCCTATAGCAGCATAACTCAGGGATGGTTCAGGACTCACCTGATCCAGCCCTAACTATAAGCTTTATCAAAGAAGAATGTCTTAAGCCTACTCTTGAATGTGGAGAGGGTGTCTGCCTTCCAAACCACAACTGGAACCTGGTTCCACAGGAGAGGAGCTTGGCAACTGAAGGCTCTGGCTCCTGTTCTACTTTTAGAGACTATAGGAACCACAAGTAGCCCAGCATTCAGAGAACGTAGTGTTCTAGAGGGGTAATAGGGTACTATGAGCTCTTTAAGATATGAAGGGGCCTGACCATGAAGAGCTTTATAGGTGAGGAGGAGGATTTTACATTCTATTCTACATTTTACAGGGAGCCAGTGCAGAGAGGCTAGTACAGGAGAGATGTGATCTCTTTTTCTAGTTCCTGTCAGTACTCGTGCTGCAGTGTTCTGAATTAATTGGAGCGTTTTAATGGACTTATTGGGGCAACCTGATAATAAAGAGTTGCAGTAATGCAGCCTTGAAGTAACAAATGCATGGATTAGTTTTTCTGCATCTGTCCTGGAGGTCTGCTTTATGTGGGAGTTAAATGACAAATCCTGATCAAAGATAACTCCATGATTCCTGACAGTGGTGCTAGAGGCCAAGGTAATGCCATCTAGAGTAACTATATCTTTAGACAGTGAGTCTCTAAGGTTTTTGGGGCCAAGTACAAGAATTTAGTGAGTTTAACATCAAAAAATTGCAGCTCATCCAGGATTTTATGTCCTTAAGACATGTTTGTAATTTAGATAATTGATTAATTTCATGGGGCTTGATTGATAGATATAACTGTGTATCATCTGCATAACAGTGAAAGTTAATGGAGTGATTCCTAGTAATGTTGCCTAAAGGGAGCATATATAAAGTAAATAGTATTGGTACAGAACCTTGTGGAACTCCATGACTAACTGTAGTATTTATTGAAGATTCATCGTTAACATGTACAAACTGCGAACGATCTGATAAATATGACTTAAACCAGCTTAGTGCAGTTCCTTTAATGCCAATTTGATGCTCAAGTCTCTATAAAAGAATATCATGGTCAATGGTGTCAAATGCAGCACTAAGATCTAATAATACAAGTACAGAGACAAGTCCATTGTCGGAAGTGTTACAGGTACCGGCTGGCACCACATCAACAGCTTATATGCTCTTCCTGGAAACAGGAGAAATAAGTGAGACAGCGCAAACTCTGCGTCCGTTTTTCATCTCGCTCAGCAGAAAGAGGAAAGAGGATTTATTAAAACATTTACCATTTAAATCCTCGTCTGTAACAAACACTCAATGTTTTCAAAGAAAGAAACATGGCTTCAAAATCAAATACAATTTCTCTTTCCTTATCTTTCAGCAAATACTGAGTTATAAGTTTTGTGTGATTAAATAAATCAAAATGACAATAACCACTGTTGCCCTGTAAGTTGTCTCTTTTCAACTTAAAATAAAACATAGCTTATGTTACCACTTACATATAAAACATAGCTGATGTTACCACTTACATATGGTTCCTAAATGCATTTTCCCTTTCCAACTAAAATCATTTTACTCTTCCATAATGCATGAGCTGACAGATTTTTAACTTGTTTTTTTACCACTTTTACAATATATAAAATTGTGCTTTTAACATTAGCTTCTAACTGCTTTACAGTACATGAACACAGTTTTTAACAATTTACACAAAATCATACGTTTCAAAACTATTACATTTGACAAAAATGTTCAAGGAGCTAAAAATAAAACTCTGACCGACGTGACTCAGGTAGCAACAGGTGATATCATCAGGCGCGAAACCGCGACTACTGCTATATGTACATAAATGTCCTCATATTCATAAAACAGCCTTATTAGCGGACATTAAATCATTCAGTGACATGTCAACGTATTGCACTTCATTTACTTAGCTTAATTTACTATTCCACCAACCTGGAAACAGGAGAAATAAGTGAGACAGGGCAAACTCTGCGTCCGTTTTTCATCTCGCTCAGCAGAAAGAGGAAAACTGCAAAGCGGACCAAACTGACGTAAAGCCCCCCCGGAACACAATAAGCGCCACACTGCCCCCTGCTGGTGACCCCCAATTACTCCTGACATCTATATTAAATATTTTAGTGCAAGGATGGTGGAAACAGGTTAATTACCCCTGAACTAATATTCAAACCATTAATTATAAAATTACAGAAACTACCACAAATGTGATAACACTTTAGTGGGCATCACAGAAGCAATCAACTCTAAATCCTGACTGAAAATCCTCAAATAAACTATTGCTATGTAAAAAGTCACGCAACTCTTTGGCGACTACTTTCTCCAGAATCTTAGAGAGGAAGGGGAGGTTAGAGATTGGTCTATAGTTGGCTGAAACCGCTGGGTCAAGAGTGGGCTTTTTAACATAGCATATATAAGCACTGGAAAAAAGAAAGTTGACAGAGGTGCCAAGGGGGAATAACTTAAGGCCTTTGCACAAAAAAGGTAGTATTTTTAGTCTGAGTTTTTTTTTAATTGACCGATTAAAATCTTGAGGCAGGGAAACCTTGCACATTGAGTCTGATGCATTTTATTATTCTATTTGTTGTGAAATTCACAATATAAGACAACAGCTACAAGAGGCTGAGCTGTCCCCTCTCTCTGTCTCCACAATGTTGCTCTGGCTCTCTGTCAATGTGCTGCCCTAATCCTCTATTTCTTTTAAATAGTGTTAAAAAATGCAGAAAATGTAACTTGTTCCAAAAACTTTCATAACAGACGTAAGGTTCAGAGTCGGTGTGTTAACATGATTGACTGTGAGGTATTTATTTTTAAACGTGAGATAATTTCGGACAGAAAATACAGACTTGGGAGGCCTTTAGAGAGGGTTAATTACATCCATCTGTCCATCTTTGTATAAGTTAATACCTCTTTTCTGTTTCCATCGAGGTGTGTTACTTGATCTGATAGACAAGCAGTAATCAGCTCATCTTTACACTGTAAACAGACACATATGGCATCAGAGTGTGTGACTGTGAGTAGCCAGGATTAATTAATCATATGTTAACACTACTTTATATAAATCAAGTTAATTAATAAACACATTCAAAGTGTAAACCACTTTTAAATTGCACTGCCTACAGTCTTGTGTTCATTGACAAACTTTGCTCACATAATATTCACTTTATTCAGTTGCAAGGGCTGGCTGAGCCTCACTGTGTGGGTGAACAGCCTGGTTGTTAGATGAAGCACTAAAAATGTTTATTTTTAACAGTTTTCAACACAAATTGCACCATCTCCAGCAATTGCAATTAGTCTCCCAAACAAGGAAAATGCTGTTCTCTGTCAGACCTTGCCCTATGTCAAACAGCCTAATTTGTTGCTTAAAGGGAAATACAGTTTTAGTATTTTCACCAGTATGAAGTTTTATTTGATGGAGAGGTTTTATTTGATGGAGAGGAGCTGTCCTGCGAACCCTGTTTAAAGTTTCAGTTATACCTTATTTTATTACTTTTACTCTGGTCATTAAAGGAATAGTTCAACATTTTGGGTAATACATTTATTTACTTTCTCTCTGTGAATGACATGAGTGGATCAATATCAGTCAGTGGCCCTCCACTTAAAAATTTTACACTGTTGGTATCCCTCTAATGTCATTTCTAAACCCACCTACCTTTGAAGTCAGGTGATGTAGAGAAATAAGAGAAATAATACCCATGACACTGAAAAATGCATTATTTGTGATTTGTGTTGGTAGCCCCACAGATGTATGATTTTACTGCTTCCGCTGGCTAAGACATTACTCAAACCCTTGATGGGGTGGATGGATGGCTCAAACAAACACAGGACTTTAATCCACTGTTAGTGTCTCAAAAATGACTGAAAAGTTACTAAAAACAATTTATAACTATTTATTTTTAACTAACATGTGATGTAACTTAAAAATGTTTCCTAAATGTAAGTAGTTTTTGTGCCTAAACCAAACTGAGACATGCTTTATTTTGAAAGTCTAACTGACGTTGTATAATTATTCTGGCTGTACATCTAGAAATGATGCAAGAGAGGTACCTACAGCGTCATATTTTGAAGTGGAGGGCCACTGAACAAGTGGCAGTATTCCACGACTAGGGAGTGTGTTGGTATTTTAAATACAGAGCTAAGCCTAGCTTAGTATAAAGACTGGACACAGGGGGAAATAGACGGCCTGGCTATGTCCAAAGTTCACAACTATCACACCTCTAACACTAATTAACATGTTGCACAAACAAAAATTAACACAATTTGTGACTGATTTTGTTCTCTGTACAACTTACAGCTGTGTTTAACCAGCTCATTAGCTCAACCATAAAACCACCTTCTGTTATTTTCATTACATAAACTGCCAGTTTACAATTTTGTTATATTATATTTTATAATAATACACATGATTCAATTCAATTTATTTTCTTGCATTTTCCCTTATCCGTTTGCAGAGGCACCCCAACGGGGCCCTGTCTCCACCTGATCTACCTAACCTAAGTTTTGGGGTTGGCTTTTTTGCCCCACGTTACCTCAGGGACTATTTAAAGCTGCTCCTACAAGTAATAAAGCCAGCAGCCTCAGTAGGAAGATGTCATCATGCCGTTTATTTACTGCGATAACTTGACAGAGCAGCTCCTCATCTTTACAAGCTCATTAGATAAAAGGGCACCTATCGACCTACAGCGCTATGAGAACGGCAAGCTGCATTACCTCACTGCACAGACTGGACTGCTTCCTCCGGTTTTTTATGTGTGTCCAGGGCTAATGAGCTCTGCTGCGTCATGGAACAGGTGACAGCATGCCCCCAGTCCCTTTAAATGAGCTATATGCCTGGCTCCAACACTGCTGCATGTAGAGAGCATTATAAAATAAGAAATCACAGCTGAGTGAACCTTTGCGAGTTTTAAGAGGATTCTGAATTTTTTTCCACTACTCAGACAATCAATTCAAGTGGGGAAAGATGAACTGGAAAATTTTTGAATTCCAACACCTAAACAACACATTCTTTAAGTAGATCACAGAGCACACATGCAAAATATTGACACCAGAGTTTTATTAAAGAAATAATTCAACATCCTTGGAAACATTTGAGTGAGATGAGAAGATATCAATCTCATGTCTGAAGGGAGGATGAGATTAGTTTAGTTTAGCAAAGACTGGTAGCAGGGTGAAACTGCGAGCCTTGTTCCACCCAGCGTCTCTTTACAGCATACAAACAGCAAACCTTACAGGCAGTGAAACAGGTTCACCTGCAGGAAGATTTAGCAGACTCCATTGTCCAGTGATGCTTGCACAGCCTTCAGTAGAAGGTCTTAGAAATAGAAGAATACCTTTTTCCACATCATTTAATCCAATGTCCGAAGTATACAACCAAACATCTATGGAAGCCTGATGTGCTCTGTAAACAAGTGCTGTGAGCTGATGAAGTTAAAATTGAACTCTTTGGCCAAATCAGCAAAGCATTTCATGAAAAACACACCTCGCTAACTGTTGGGTGCGCTAACAGTCCCCTGACTTATTACTGAAATCATTTAAAACAGCATACTAATAAATATTATACTTTAAAATAAAGGTTGTCATTTTCTAATCCTTCTCCTTCCCCTGGCATATAATATGATAATAGGATGTTTTAAACAAGACAAAAAATGACTAGGGCGACAATTTGTGCACTCACCATATTGAACTGTGTGGTCCTCTTATTGGATAATTTAGCCAGCATCTTTATAATGTACTGTTATGAAGCTGGTCCATATACCTACACTGCAAAAACAGCCCCTCTCGAACAAACCACATTTTCTTGTATTGAGCAAAAATGGGGTAAACCAATTTTGCTTGGCTAGAATTCCCTAAAACCAGCATAACAAATGTAGCCACTAAAATACTGTCCGAGGCCTAAAAAGTAGAAACAACACCAAAAACTTAAGCAAGTTGCACTAATTAATAGGAATGAAAACTCAGTTATTTAAGATAGACTCTCTTAGAATAAGTATTTTGGTCACTTAATTGAGCTGAATGTAAGAATTAGCTCCTTCTAAAATTAATAATTAACAAAAACAATCTTACAATAAGAGATGAAAAATAAGTGACCTTGTCTTAAATTATGCCAGAAGCATTTTGAAAAACAGCTGCTTCATTTACAAAAGGTGGTCTCTTAAATTGAGAAGCTGTGTAAGTGGTCTTACTCTTACAATAAGCTGTAATATCTTAAGACAAAGTTTACTTTTGTAATGCAAAACTTTCTTGACAAGATTAGCTTTCTGTTTTGAAAAAAATTAGCATTATAAAAATTATACTTTCTTGAGATTTCTATCTTGCAGGTTGAGCAGGCCAAAATATTATAAATTACCTAATGATATTAGCAGTGAGCGAGACATTGTGTGGGAGCATTTTTATTTAAACCATCAAACTTGATTTCTGTCATTGTGATCTGAATGAATATATAGTTTAATACAAGTCTGAATCATATTATAGTGTGAAAGTGGAATTTAAGACAGAGTACCGAGCTAGTGAGATATGCTGCCTGTGTAAACAGATAGCTCAGCTCTTAATGGTCCCTGGTTGGTCCCTGCATTCTGTCAGAATGCAAACAGAACAAAAGAATATATTTGAGATAAATTAAATAGGTCCCTATTGTTTTTGGTCTGTTTATTATTATTCTTCTTCATAGCCCTTTTGACTGCATTTTTGACCCCCTGAACGTAAACTTTGCGTGAATTTTATTTTGCAAATTTGTCGGGCCTGGTGCGATATCGGATATTCTATGTGTCACATTCAGGTCAGCCACTAGGTGGCGCTACTTTTAAGCAAATTTTGATAGGCTAATAACTCCCGCATCGTTTGTCTCACATTCAAAAACCTTATATCCACGCGTTCGGTGAATGGAGCTGAATCTCCCTATATAGGCCACGCCCACTTCCGCCTACATTTTGTTTTTCGCTAGAGCACGAAATGTCCAAAAACGATGTTATCGTGTTCCACCCATGCACTTTTGTCCGATTTCCACGAAACTTTGCACGTAGCATCTGGAGACCGTCCTGGCAAAAAAAGTAATTTAAAGTATTTTGATATTTCAAAAAATAAGCATGTTATAAAATTAGCACTTCCTGTTGATTTTTCATCAAAAAAAGGAAGTGGACCATTTCTCCACAATGGTATGTCCGATTGACATCAAGCTTGGGTCCATAGTTCCCCATGTCTTGATTAGGCATTGTGCACAATCTT